GTGTCATAGTTCAAGCCCTGTGACACTACTGTGCAGTAGTAACAAGCTACTGCACAATAAGCGACTCGTGTAGATGTGGCCACAGAGAATTATCCTGGAATGAGGCACCCCCTGGAGACAGCAGAGCACCACTGCGTTTATTTTGCACTACAAAAGCTCAAAATATTTCATTTTTGACGGTTTTGCTGCCCCTAGATAGAGTGTCGAATCGGGATGAATCAATTACAACTGTCAATCGAATTGCATTGCTTAGGTCTGGGAGGGTACCCGAGGCCTTGGAGAGAGATCAGTTTAACAGCTTAAGTCAGAATAAAAATCAAGGCTCATCAAAAAACGGAGAGCGAAATACGACTGACGTTTAGGTGCCTGTACTCACAGCTGGCGTAGAACAGCACCGCTGTGTGGCCAGTCTCTGTCAGGGCCCGGTGAAACATCTCCTCCGTCAGGGTTCGGATGAGGTCTAAAGGGAGTTCTCTCTTCCGGTCTCTGTGAATGGCCTCTACCACCTGGTCATCTTGCACATCTGTAATTCAGCAGCAGTAGATGAATGCACAAATAATGCTGGAATTCACTGTTTCTAAGCATTTGAATGCAAGGAAAAGACAGATGGGGGGGTGTATTATTATGCCCTGTGGAGCTACGTGGCACTAGGTTATTATTCTGTCCTATGGTACTAGGTGCTGTACATACCCATTAGGAAAAGACAGTCCTTGCCACAAAGAGCTTGCAACAGGTGGCTCCAAGGAGAGGGCCAAAACGCAGCAGAGCACCAGTTTCAATCAGGGCATGAAGCAGCAGCTGTTACTTGCTCCTATACCATTTGCTACTCATCGGACACATCTACACATGCAATTAATGTACATGAATAAAACTCCAATGCTTGTTGCTCTGGAGTTTATTACTCCCAGGCACGCTGTTTGAATGCGTGGCTGGGAGCAACTCCAGAGCAATAAGCTCCAGATTTTACTCATGCACGGCACATTGAGCCAGGTTGGAGCAGTTCTGGCTGTCAAGGAGCCCAGGGGTTTAGCCTGCCAGCCTGGAGCTGCTCCCCCAAGCTCAATGTGCTGCGGAGGGGCTGGCTGGGGCACAAGGATACTGCAGTGTGGGTCTACCTGGCAGGCAGCCCCTGCACTGAAGCACCCTCATGCCCTAGCCAGCTGGGGCAGCATCTACACGTGCACTGCTGCAGAGTAAAAAACTCCACAGCAAGATAGTACTTGGATAAGTACTACTCCGCTGCAGAGCTAATTATTTTACTCTAGTCTAATAGCGGTGCACATGTAGATGTGCAGATGTTTACTGTGCAGCTAATTAGTCTACTGCACAGTACATGTCTTGTGTAGACACATGCACTCATTAGAAACTTAGTGCTCCACTGAAGTGACTGGGATTAGGCCAATTTACACCAGGGAAGGATGGGGGCTACAGAGAAGAGAATACCCTTTTTCTAGGATACACATTGCATTTTTGTTTGTCTTGGACAACTTCTCGTGTTACGTGGGCTCTTGGTTTCCCTGAGAACTTACATGAAAGGATTGGAAACAGACAGTTTGTTTTTTCCAGAAAACAAGTGATTTTTAAAGCACAGACCAGGTGAACATGTACCCCTGGGCCCCCTGGCCAAGAAAAGTGGAATTTGAACGCAGAGCTCAAATGGGCTCTCAAAGAGACAGCAGCCCACACTTTCCAAGAGACTCATGGTTTATTTCAGAGTCCTGACTTGCAGTGTCCCAAAGGGGGATAATTTCAGCTTGTGCTGGGCACCCAGCTTCCAAAAAATCAGGCCCCTCTAAGATGCTTCAAATTGGACACCTAATAATTTAAGCCCCTTGTTTCACAGGTTAACTCTTCTTAGGAAGTAAAAAGAAGACACATTTCTTCTAGCCTTATCGCCATAAATAGCAGATAGATGACAACTCGTTGAGCTGTGGCAACTTTGCCCAATCTGGTGGAGAATTACTGCAGGAAGAAATCAGGAGTAAAACACTACTGGGGTAAATTACACTGATTTACGTTTCATCTATCCACTTCTGTTTAGGACATCCATTTGCTAGAGGCAAGCAGGCTTGCAGGTCATCCAGCAGCAAGGCAGAGTAATAGCTGTCTGCTTGTGTGGGCAACCTCAGGACACCTGTATGTCTGCCTGTTCCTGAACCTCCTGTCATTTATAGCAGCATACAAAACCAAGGTCATTTACATGAGGGCACATGCCTATCTGTCCACAGCCTTCACAATCAATTAGCACATAGCTACATATGCAAAGAATCCCAAACACCAGCACTACCTTTATCACTATTCTCTTTTTCTTCCTCTTCTTCTTCCTCCTCCTCATACTCCTGGAATTGTTCCCCTTTCAGCTTATTTTCCACGAGGGCAATAATTTCATCAGTATCCTCCAAAACCAGGTACTTGATGGGCACACCCTGGAGGAAAAGTAAAGCATCAGCTGTGACAACATATTTGCTTTTGACTGTGCCCGGGAACAGCTGGACTCACTACAAATTAGACAGAGCTACAAGGGTGTCCTGTTCCAAAATCAAAGGGACCATACAGCCCCTTTTCTGGAACTGATAAATGCTCCTGAACCCAGAGCTAAGACAAATAGGGAGTTTATACACATGCAGCAAAGCTGCTCCGAGGTGCTGTAATTAAAGCGCATCAGAGAAGACTTGATTAATCAAGTCTGCTGAAGCATGGTAATTACTGCTCTCCAGCAAACTCCAGCATCTCGTGCATTAGCATCCCCATGCTGAAAAATGGCAGCGGGGACACTAATGCACAAGACCCTCAAGTTTGCTGGAGCACAGTAATTACCATGCTCATTTGACGAGCTTTAGTTAAAGCACCACCGCCACCACCATTTTTCAGCACAGGAGTGCCGATACATGAGATGCTTCAGGTGCTTTAATTAGAGCGGCTCTTGGAGCTGCTCTAACTAAAGTGCCCCCCACACACTCCTGAAGCACATGTGTAAATTCCTGTAGCATGCAGACTGATGCCTAGAAGAGCTCCATTCAGCTTGGCCTGTTCCTCGAATGGAGCCCTTCTAGGCACCAATCTGCCCCTACTTGTCTCTCCTTTTGTGCTCTCATGTAGCACAAGCAAGGTAACATAGACAAGAAAGGGTGGCTCATATAGCACAGACTAGTTGACAGTGATGCTTCAGGTCACCCCTAAATAGCAGTGTAGATATACCTTCTCTGGCCTTGATCACTATAATATCATGGTATTAAGGGTTGTTAACCTCACAACAAAGCCCTGTGTGACAGGAAAGTATCCTTCCCATTTGCCAGATGGAGAAATGAGGCACGAGACATTTTCTCTGCCTTCTGCCAAACAAAGGTGAACATTTCATCTCCACCTGGGAGCCTGTCACAAATGGTCTTCCTGGGGAAAAACACAAATCCCTGCTAAAGGAAAGAATCTGGGTTGAAGCCAGCTTATCATTGAATGAAACCAAGAGGGCAACCACATTGATTTATATTCTGACTTGCCCCTTGTTGCATTGGCTTTCCCTTCTTTGTGTGACCTTGCACCTGTAACACAAGAAGGCTGCTTTAGCCTCCTGTATACAATGGGACCTGCTGGCTCAGAAACATAAAAACATATTTTGAGAGAATATTAATTTTTAATGAATTGCACTGTGGAAAAAATAAAGTGGAAAAACCCCAGCAGTTCATCCCACTGGCTCAGAGGGCAGGAACGGAGCAAGTGCGTGTCACTCACCAGCCAAGTGGCACTCCTCATGGGGAAGGGAGATTCCCATCTAGTCCTGCCTGCCTTGGAAGCACACGAGTCATTACCTTGCAGCGGTTGGCACTGTGATACCTCCATCAGCGCAAGCTAGGTCAGGTCCTTCTGCTGTTCCCCACACTCATTGCGCCCTGACCAGCCAAACTCATTTTGTGCCTGTCCTTCTTTTCCAGGTCATTAAGAGCTAGAATAAGTAATGCTAGAGCTGCCGGCTGACATGGACACAGCCCGACTCTTTGCTTTCCATCTCTTCATTAGTTTTGGACATCACTGGCTGCCTCTCACCCCATCATGATTTGGTTTCTTAACTAGCTGCTTCTCAGGGACTTTGTTAAAGGCTCTTTTAAAAGTCCAGATCCTTGGAGACTTCTATGGGACCAGCTGCCAGCTCTCTGCACCGGGTACTTCATTGACATTGAGATGCCTAGCTCCCCCAAATAAATGCTTGCTTCCTCTTGACTCATGAGATCTTGGGGGCACCAGGCCTGGGCAGCTGTGCCATGACCCACCTGTGCACTTACAACCTCCCCCCCCACAAACAAAACAACAACTAAAAACCCCTTTCAAGCCTTCAGGGGAAACTGTTAAATAACAGCAAGGAAAACTGCTGTGAAAAATCCCTTGCTACGTTTGCCGTGTTCAGAGACATGCCACGTAAATAGAAGGACTCACCTCCTCTGCTGTCTTCAGAGCAACATTAGACTGGAGAAGGACATTCAGACCCAAGGAGTCCCTTTGGAGATACAAACATGTCACGTTAATGAGGATGGTGCAGGATCAGGACCTCAGTACCCTCCTGGCCAGTCACTATGAAGTGATGTCAGCAATGGACATATCCCCCCAACCTTTGCCTTTCCCCATACCCTGTGGCCCAGGGCCCAGCCTGGCCTGCTGGAGGCTTTTGTCTCACATGCCAGGTTGCCCTGGGGCAGTGGGGCATTGTGCTGGCAGAGAACCAGCCCAGTTGGTCCCACTCAGTCCCACAAGGAGCTTTGCTGCCAGCCTCCTGGGACAGAGGGGCTGGAGCTCAGAGCTTCCCCCAGCCGCCAACCACCAGTGTCAGTGCCCAGGCCCACATGAGAAGGTGGCAGTCCTGGCACCCAGGCAGCATTGGCAGGAAAGGTGCCCACACTGCATGGAGGGTGCTCAGTCCCAGCCTTGATCCAGTGCAGTGGAGTAGAAAAGCTTCTGAGGGCAAACTGGGTCTCATTGAGGAACAAGGCTCTCCAAAGCTCCTGCCACAGCCTAAGGCTTCACCTGCTCAGGATGGCAGGACAGCTCAGGAAGCCCTGCTCCCAGCACGGCTTTGCCCATGATGTCACTTGCCAACCCCTGCAGAGACAGCTGGAGCCCCTGGGGTGGCACCTCTGAGCACTACAGTGGAGCAGGAGGGCTAAACTGGGGTACAGCCTCAGGGCAGGGGTGGCGGCTGCTCCAGGCTGGTGCCAGCACCCAAGTCTCAAAGCATGCACCAGACACAGTCCAGAGCAATCTCAGAGGCCAGCTTCCAGCTCCAGAGCATATTGGCAGGTACGGATGGGCAGGGCATAGGCAGGGCCGGGCCGGCCCACACCTTCCCAGGGTGAGGTCTAGACAAGCCCACAGGCCTCAGGCAGGTCCCACAGAGCACAGCCGCCATCCAGCGCCCTGATAAGAGTACGATCAATAGAGATCTCTGGACCCTAGGGGCCCTACTCAGCACAAACCCATGTGGTCACAACTCCCACCCCCTTCTGGGGGTTATTTAGTCTTCACTGAAGAACAAAACAAACCCTAGCCTGAGCTCTCTTCCCCAACCAGCTGGTGGTTTAAGGGCTCTCCCTGTCAGGCCTTCTGTATGACCATGCAGTTCCTCTGACCCAGATCAGGGCTGGGTCATGCTGCCTTCCCCCTGTGCAGCTGGATCAGAGACAGGTCAAGCCCTCCCCTCCTCACAAAGCCAGGGTGGGACCAAGCCAAGCCCTCTTACCCCTGCTGCACCCACCCCAGGTGCCGGAATGAGTCCACCAGCACTGCTCATCTGGCCCACCCTGCAAAAAGGTAGACACTGCCCGGGACCATCACAGCTATACCATCACTCTAATGCTGCCCTACCTGTGACAGCATGACACTGAGCTGACTTCGATGTAACAGAATCCAGCCCCAGCTCACAAGTTCTACAGTGTCCCAGCTACACACGCGTCTCAGGAGACCAGAAACTCGTCTGAGCCAACGTACCTTGCCAAAAGCGCAACGCCTGCTCTCCCCAGCAGCTGCCATGCAACAAATTCTGCAGTTCTGTGGTCAGCCTCGTAGGTCTCTTTCTGACTGAGGATGAACACCAGGGGCAGGCCGAGCTGCAAGTGAACTGTTGAAACCTTCTCAGGATCTGCAGCAACTTCAGTCTGAAGGAGAGACAGAGTCACGCGGTTAGACGCCTTCCCAGCATGCATGAACGAGGATGCTTAGGGGACTTTCAATCCCTTACACTAACTAGGTTGTCAGATAGTGTCCATGGTCCTCCTACGACAACCAGATCCAATCACCCAAAAAGCAGAACTCGGCTCACTGTCCTCTTTGCCTGCCCATCAGAGGCAAAACCGGAATGGAAGAGCCTCCTGTGCACTGGGCTGCTGGGATTTTAGAAGTTAATAGAATCTGAGGTTTTAAGGCCAGAAAGAAACATCACAATCATCTGCAGTGACTCCTTGTATAACCCAGGCAGCAGCATCTCCCTGAATGAATTCCCGTTTCAAATCCCATCACTGTGGTCAGATGGAAAACTCTTTGTTAGAAACGCAGCTGGATGGGACCGAGAAGCTCCCAGGGATGAAAAACCCACCATGAGACCAGGAAAATTGTTTCAAAGGGTAACTGCCTCCCTGTCAAAAAACTTCTGTGCCTTACTGTCCTTGCTGCCTGTGACCTAACATGTGGCTGCCACTCCCATTCATTTGAACCAGAAGCCAGCACCCAAATCCTGCAGGCAGCACTGAACCTCTTGTAACATGCAACATGCCCTGGGTTGCCTTCCCTTCCCATTCCCATTATGTTGCATGCCCCAGCAGGGATGTTCCACAGGCTGGCCCATTTCATTGTCCCATTCTCCCCCTTTTAAATTCCCTCCCCTACCTGGGCTAAAGCTGCAGCTGGGCTGGGCCAAACCCCTCCTAAAGGGGAATTCCTTTGTAGATGTAAACTGCCTGGGGCCCAACAAGATCAGCTACACAGTGGAAGTGGAGTGGCCACACAATGTGCAGCTCTGCTGCATAGTAAGCCACTCTGACCTAGCCAGAGTTACCCCTCGAGAAATGCAGAGCATCTTTAGGAGGGCTCTGTGGGCCAGAACATGTGGCTGCCTCCAGTAGCCAGCTTCATCTTGAGTAGTCGTTTGCCCGGTGTAAACTAGCTCTGTTGTCTCCTGGTGGGTGGGCACTGCAATGCTGCCTACAGCAGGCAAGCAGCTTAGGAGAACTGGTCATGCGTCCACTCTTACCATAGAGTAAAATCCAGGAAAAATTTCCCCCTCGCTCTTGCGTTGTGTCTGCACCCTGAGGCCTGGTGAGGAAGTCTGCCTAGGGAAGTTGTGGAATCTCCATCACTGGAGGTGTTCGAGAAGAGGACGGATAAGCACTGGTCAGGGATGATCTAGGTATAGCAATGCCAATGTCCTACTATGGGTATTCCCCATGCCTCTGGACTTTGCTGACTGCTGCATGAGTATGGGAAGGATTTTTTTGCCTCCTGCTGATACTTGGATCCATGGATCAACTCCCTCAGAAACACTGGCTGCTGGATGCAGCCCTGACTGGGCCATGGCATTGCTCCTGCTGGGACCAAAGCCAAAGGTTCTTGGGTAAAAGATCTTGCCCCTCTGATCAGGATCAGACTAATTGCCATATTTAGGGTCAGGAAGGAATTTTAACCCATGGTCATATGACCTGGAGGGGGTGGGGGGTTGCCTCCTTCTGTTCTGGGAGTTGTTTCCCTCTTCCTGGGATCTCTCAAGTATATTTTAACAAACTGCAGCAGCAGGACATTGGCCACCATGATCCCCCTGCTTTATCTGTGTCAGGTTTGGTGTTATGTCCTGTGATTGTATCAGGGTTGACTGGGAAGTTTTACCAATAGGTTGTTTGGACAGGGGTGATCCTGCCTCCTGCAGGAGGTTAGACTACATGATCACTGGAGGTCCCTTTCAGTCCTACTTTTCTATGATTTCTATGATGTCATGGACCCATTGAAATCAATGGGAGTTTTGCCATTGATTTTACTGGGGTTGGACTTTCACTCCTGATCCTGTCTATAACACAGCTGTAGACTACCCACCCTCCATGCCCTCAGCCCTACCCAAAAGACTTCAGTGAGATACAGCTCATGGCAAATCGTACCACAATAGGTGCCTCCATCAGCTTGAGATACTTGTGGATGTTGAGTGTGCTCAGTGGCTGCTCCATGGGAGTCCTTCTGCATGGCTGTGTTGGATCCATGACACGCTTACAGTGGCAGAAGAAGAGCTGAGCAGATAATCCATCAGCATCCTCAGTGCTGTGGGGGGGGGGGGGAAAAAAAAAATATATAAAAAGGGCGTAC